GTCCCAGAGAGAGGGTCCGGCCTAGCAAACAGCAGGAACCGTTTCTAGTTGAGGAACAACTAGATCTAGTTAATTAAATATAAATATACAGGGCTCTTTGAAGGTCAGACTTGGGGGAGAAATAATTCTTCCTTTAGCAGTCTGCAAAGATTATCAAGCCAATGTTTAATATGAGTTACTATTATTGGTAGTTTATTTTTTAAATTTATTTTTTATTTTATTTTTAAAGATTTTATTTATTTGCGAGGGAGTGAGAGCATGAGCAAGGGGAGCAGCAGAGGGAGAGGGAGAAGCAGGCTTCCCGCTGAGCAGGGAGCCCAATGTGGGACTCGATCCCAGGACCCTGGGATCACGACCTGAGCCGACGCTTAACCGACTGAGCCACCCAGGCGCCCCTATTATTGGTGCTTTATATTAATATATCTATCTCTAACAGCAGTTGTACAAGGACAGTTTTGGGGGGTCTCATTTTACAGAGAAATAAACTGAGGTTCAAAGGACACGACTAAATTGTGTAGAGTCACAACAGCTAATTAGTCAAAGAATGTGAATTTGAATCAAATTTTGTGTAGTTCCAAAAGTCTATGTTCTGATCTACATAGAGACAGGGAAGAACTTATTGTCGGATAGGATAGTAGGTGGTGGAGTTACGGAGCTGGTATCTGGGCCTCAGACTTGCAGCTCAGCCCCTGTGGAACTCTGGGTCACTTATTTAACCTCTGTGAACCTTGGTTTTCCCATTTGTAAAGTGGAAGTAACATTACCACCTCACAAGGTTACTGTAAGGAGCCCACGACATGGCCTATAATGGCTCTGCCAATTATCAGTGCGATAAAATTTAGTTTCCTTCTGTCTCATAACTGTTTTCTCGTTGTTAATCAAAGGCACACTATGGCCCCGTTTGAAGTAAACCCAGTTCTCTGTTGTTAGTATGTACTTTGCAATGAATACTTTACCAGCTCTGTGGACTTGGGCAAGTCAACAGTTTTTGTTAAACTTCTGATTGCTTGTCTCTGAAATGGGGAGAAGGAAAGCGCTTTCTTCCCGGTATTATCATTGGGATTCAACGTATTCAGCAAATATTTGTTGAACACTTACTAAATCGGCACCGTCCTCCACTCCGGTGGACACAGCCTCTGTGCTCATTTAGTAAGCGGGGCTGGGCTGGAGGTAGGAGGGGGGGCGGGGCGGATAGCTGTAAGAAGTAAAAACCAAGTATAAGGTAAAATGATAAATTCAAGAAGAAGCACGGCAGGTAAAAGGTGGATGTGCCGTTTCTCTGCAGGTCTGTTTTTCTGGTGAAGTGACATTTAGCCAGGACACAAATGACATGGGGAAGCAAGCCCGTGTGTATTTGTTGTTGTTGTTTTTTAAAGATTTTATTTATTTATTTGACAGAGACATAGCGAGAGAGGGAACACAAGCAGGGGGAGTGGGAGAGGGAGAAACAGGCTTCCCGAGGAGCAGGGAGCCCGATGCGGGGCTCGAACCCAGGACCCTGGGATCATGACCTGAGTGGAAGGCAGAGGCTTAACGCCTGAGCCACCCAGGTGCCCCCAGCCCATGTGTTTTAGCAAGAAGCACATGCCAGGCCGAGGGGGCAGGCAGCGCCCAGGCCCTGTCTGGCAAGGGGGCCTGCATGACACGTTTGAGGAGCAGCAAAAGGCCACCGTGACTGGAGGGGAGTGAGCAGAGGGGTGGTGGCAGGTGAGCAGAGAGGTAGCTGCTGGAGCAGGGAGAGCGTGTAGGAGGCTAGGCCTTAGTGAAGACTCAGAATTCGGCCCGCTGTAAAGCGCCTGGAGTTTTCAGCAAAGTAGTGTCATCGGCCACAGGTTTTAGACAGAACATTCTTGCTTCTGGGAGAAAAATAAAGGTGCAATGCTTCGAGGAAGCAGGATCAGTTTAGAGGCTATTGTAAGAGACAGTAGTGGTTTCGACGAGGGTGGGGACAGGAGAGGGTGAGCAGTGACTGGGAATCCCTAGGGAGTAGGTTTTGATAGAGGGAAGAGGTCTGAAGACGAAACCCTGGAGCTCCCCAGGGTTTAGAGATGGGGAAGATGTGCAGAGGAGACAGAAAAGAAGTAGCCAGTGAGCAATGAGGAGAACCCAGAGGATGGGATTAAATGGAGTTAAAACAAAACACATAAACTTACGCCAAGCACCGTAATAAGCAGTTTATAAGTGTTAGATCTTGTATTGCTTGGAATGCAGACCAGGCGGTTGTAACAACAGACTCCAAAACAGAGTTAAACAAGATAGAAATTTGTTTGTCCTTCACTTTCAGTCCGTGTAGGTGGCTCAGGGCTGGTGTGGAGCCCAGAGGCATTAGGGACCCAGGGTTTTTCTTATCTACTCTTAAGAAATGTCATATCCCCACAGGAAGGAGATAGGGTGGGTGTGCTCTGCTCCTTTAATAAGCCCTTGTTCATGAAATCTCCACTCACATCCTATTAGCCAGAATCTAGTCACCTGGCCACAACAAGCCACAGGGGAAGCTTGGAAATGTCTTGCTGAGCATCTGGGTACTCGCTGAAATTTTGAATTATATACATGAAGGGAGAACAGATTGGGAAGACAACTGCCAGTCTGTGTGACAACCATTAAGTACGTCTCACAGTTGACTTGGCTAGATAATGCTAGTCCTCATTTCAAAATTTCAAAAACTCAGTGTTCTCTCTCTGTACCAATAAATTCTTTTTTTTTTTTTTTTTAAAGATTTTATTTATTTGACAGAGACACAGCGAAAGAGGGAACACAAGCAGGGGGAGTGGGAGAGGGAGAAGCGGGCTTCCCGCAGAGCAGGGAGCCCGATGTGGGGCTCGATCCCAGGACCCCGGGACCATGACCCGAGCCGAAGGCAGACGCTTAACAACTGAGCCACCCAGGCACCCCTATACCAATAAATTCTTAACCTCAACAGTAATTTCTCAACTCCCTGATTATCACTCACTTTTCAGATTGATCCATCATCGCATTCTGTCCTAAAATGTTACACCATAACTTCAAAGCCACTCTTTTACTTAGAAATAATTATAGATTCAAAGGGAGGTAACAAAGAATTGTACAAAGAAGTCACGTGCACTTCTCCTTCAATTCCCCCCCACCACCCAGTGCTGACATCCCAAACAAGCTTATTCAGATTTCACCAGTTCCGTATGCATTCTCTGTGTGTCTATGCAGTTTTGTCACGTGCATAGCCTTGCATAACTACCACCCCAGTAGAGATCCTCAAGTGTACCATCACAAGACTCTCCCATACTACCCTTTATAGCCACACCCACCCTTCCCTCACCCTGTTGCTAACCCTGGCAAACATTAATCTATTCTCCCTCTCTATAATAATGTTATCATGAGTATTACATAAACAAAATATGCAGTATGCATTCTTTTGAGATTTGTCTTTTTTCCTTCATCACAATTTCTATGAAAAATAAATCCTAGTCATTTTGTATAAAACAGTTTTGGTGGGTTTTTTTACCCTATTGCTTGAGTAGGATTCTGTAGTACGGATGTACAAAGACAATGTTTAGACCCCCTGTTTAACATACTCCTGTAACTGTTACCCAGATCAATACGAGCACCCTAGAAATTCCCTTTGTGTCCCCTTCCTGTCACTGTCCATCCATCCAAAGTTAGTAATTCTCCTTTTTTTTTTTTTAAAGATTTTATTCATTTATTTGACAGAGAGAGCGAGAGAGACAAGCAGGGGGAACAGGAGAGGGAGAGGGAGAAGCAGGCTGCCCACCAAGCAGGGAGCCTGATGCGGGGCTCGATCCCAGGACCCTGGGATCACGACCTGAGCCGAAAGCAGATGCTTAACCATCTGAGCTACCCAGGCACTCCTCTCCTGACTTTTAAAACCATAGGTTGTGTTTGCTTTTGAACTCCATTCATAAATGTATAATTCCATTCATACGGAATGAGCTCTTTCGGTTCTGGTTTATTTTGCTTAGCATTATGATTGTGAGATTTATCCAAATTGTTCATTTTCATTGCTGCGTAGTAATCTATTGTGTGATAATATCACAAATTATTTATCCACTCTACTGTTAACAAGCATCTGAGTGGTTACTTGCTTTTGGCTAATAGTGGCACTATGAATATTCTAGCATATGACTTTGGGTAAAAACATATATACATTTTGGGGAAGGTACTTAGGAATTTATGTGTCATAAGTATATGTATCTATTCAGATTTAGTAGATACTGCAGACAGATTTCCCAAATGGTTGTACCAATTGATACACTCTGAGCAGCAACATATGAGGGTTTGGTTGTACCATAACCTTGCCAACACTTGATATTATCTGTCAGTTTTTTCTTTATCCTTTCAATGTGTTGATCCATGACAGCCATTGCTTCCATAGTTCAAGCTTCATGCTTTAAGCAGAACTTCTTTGTTTTTCTTTTGCACCACTAGGAGATCTAAAACTTTGTATATTCTTTCTTTGGCTTTTGAAGTTTCATTCAACAAACATTCAGGTAATAGGAGGCATTTTGGAGTTTGGAAAGGTAGCTAACCCACAGTGTCTGCCATCCAAAGACAGTGCAGGTTTCTGAACCAGGACAAATGCTATAGAGCTGGAGAACAGGAACAGGGAGCCTCACACAGATGTTTCTTCTGACCTCCCAGGCTAATAGTAAGCCTCAGATACTTCCTTTCTTCTTGTCAAGAAAATTCTTCCTTTGAAGCATTTTTTCTTACACAAATGGCCCTTATAGCCTTATTTAACCTTTTCTTCCCTATAAACTGTTGTTGATTTGAGCAACATTCATTTGACTTTGACGTTTAGTTCAGTGGTTAAGAAGCATGAGAATCTCCTGTTACTTACTTATGGTTGCTAAATTGTTTTTAAAATAAATGAAGGCATAGTCTAGGATGTCTGTCATTTCACAAGAAATTTCTTCTATGTATCCGGGTTGTGTCTCCATAAATCTTGCAGACATGATACTATGTACTTTAACAGATTTCTCAGAAATACCACTATTGCTCCTTTCTAGAAATTTGGAACCATCCGGGCAGATTTGATTGAGCAGATGAGATTCAAACAGAGACTGAAGGTGATCCAGACACTGGAGGATACTACAAAACGGAACGTGGTGAGTCCTGTAAAAAATAGCAAGTGGCCTTCTCTCTCCATAAATTCCTGCTGGACAGACTGAGATGATTTAAAAGAAGAAAATCAGGAACTTTCCCAATATAGTATCTTTGACATTGTGAAATTCATTCTGTCTACCTTCTTATAGGTCCGAACAATTGTGACAGAAACTTCCTTTACCATTGATGAGCTAGAAGAACTTTATGCTCTTTTCAAGGTGAGTTTCAAAGTAAATCCATGTACATTCAGGGGAATAAAAGAGTTCACTTTAATGATTCAGTTAGTTCTAGGTTTTTCCGTTAAATTGTTAAGGGACAGCATGAGGATCAACATGCATAAATATGTAGAGCTGAGAGTATGAAAATGGAATGCTTAATATGAAAAATAAGCATATTCTTATAACTTATTTAAGCCGATGTTTTAGCTTTGTTCCACTCCGTATTATATTTTAGCTGTTTCCTTGGACTTGACAAAGAAGGGTATTACTTTATAATACTCATTGGAATGATGGCAATTGAGTTTAAGTGCTGCCTGAAATTACTGTAAATTGTGATTTTTATATTAAGCTGTATTAAAGCACCCTTAGAGCTTTCCTATATTAAGCTATGTTAGAGCACACTGAAAAAGAAATATGTAGCTAGAGTAAGCATAAAGCTGTTCAGCTGTCTAAGGAAAAGCCTGATTGGTTAAATTTCTGTGGTTTTCATTCCATAATTCAGCCCATACCTATCTTAGTCCTGAATGACAAAACATTTTATTAGTAAATAAAACAAAGTAGAATTTTTTTCTTGTAGAAAAAAATACTTTTAACTGTCATTATCAACCTCATAGGCAAAGGTGCGGCAATGAGCAGGAGAAAACTTTTAAAAGACGTCTTTTATGCTGATACCAATTTTATCCTGATTTCTAATTGGGTGCCTTCTTGTTTGTAGTGCCTTTTACTGCCAGAGCCAAACATGACTATTTGGAGGACTGCAGAGATAGCAGGAAGCATGAAAGAAAAAGATCTGGGTTGAATACTAATAGATCTTAGAATCAGAGGATGTGATAGCTGGGAATGTTTTTGCTAATATTCCTACTTGCCTGTTAGCTGCTTACTGAAGAGCACCACTACTTTATTTTATTTTGTTTTTTTAAGATTTTATGTATTTATTTGTCAGAGAAGGAGAGAGAGAGAGCACAAGCAGGGGGAGGGACAGAGGGAGAAGCAGGCTCCCTGCTGAGCAAGGAGCCTGATGTGGGACTCAATCCCAGGACCCCGGGATCATGACCCGAGCCGAAGGCAGACGCTTAACCGACTGAGCCACCCAGGCGCCCCACCACTATTTTATTTCTTCTTGTTTCACTGGTGCCTACTCTAGTGTCTCTGCCTGGCAGGTGCTCTGAATGTGTGTGTTGAATACATAGGTAAATTAGTGATCAGTTATTCATCTAGTATAATCTCTGCATGTTTCTGATGCAGGTGCAGAGAGGTTGAGGTTTCACAGCTGGTTAGTGATGCCCTTCGTGCAGCCCGGCAGTGTGACCAGCAGGGTGGACACCACCCTCTCCCCCACCAGCCTCCACTTGGCACTTGGTGGTGAAGTCTTTATAGTATGCCAGCCCATTCATATTTTATCCATACACCATAACTAACTGCTCAGTGTAAGCTGGTTATCCATAAGAAAGGGTCCCTCTTGGTTCCATAAAGGAAAAATACAATGATCCAACTTGGATCAAAACAAAAAGATACAGTGATCCAATTAAGATCAGATTTTTAAAGGGATGCTGAGGACCAGAAGAAATGTGCTTCACGGGGTGGTGTGGGGGTTAGAGCTGGGCTTTGGGTAAGTGAACAGAAGTGGGAATAGCAGCCGGAGGCAGCAAGACCATGAACAGTTAACAGGAAGGGCATTGACATTAGAAAGAGGAGGCCGCCTTTGAGGGATGCCCGGGAAAGGAGGGCCAGGCTGGTTGTGCAGAAGTCCCAGATGCAGAGATTGCTGAAGCCATGGCTTCTTAGCTGGGCACCCCTGCGCTCTCTGGTCAGCGCACCTTCAGGTACCAGGTGTGTCCTGTGGACCCTGAGAATATGCCTGAAGAAAGCACGCTGTTCTTAGACTTGAAAGCCCTGCCTAAGGCTGTGTTGACAAACCGGAGTTCCCCAAATCTACAGAGCACCCCAAGAAAGAATCTGAGACTCGGTGTCAGGGTTGGGAAGGAGACTCAAGAGATAACTGTGGGGGGTGCCTGGGTGGCTCAGTCGTTAAGCGTCTGCCTTTGGCTCAGGTCATGATCCCAGGGTCCTGGGTTCGAGCTCCACATCGGACTCCCTGCTCCGCAGGAAGCCTGCTTCTCCCTCTCCCACTCCCCCTGCTTGTGTTCCCTCTCTGGCTGTGTCTCTCTCTGTCAAATAAATAAATAAAATCTTTTAAAAAATAAAAAAGAGATAACTGTGGAACCCAAGATAAAAACTTCAGTTATGGACTCTCTTTTGATTCTTCTGAACACTTTTAATTGGTTTTAAATCACTTGAACAAACATTTTTTTTTTTTTAAAGATTTTATTTATTTATTTATTTGAGAGAGAGAGAATGAGAGACAGAGAGCACGAGAGGGAAGAGGGTCAGAGGGAGAAGCAGACCCCCTGCTGAGCAGGGAGCCCGATGTGGGACTCGATCCCGGGACTCCAGGATCACGACCTGAGCCGAAGGCAGTCGCTTAACCAACTGAGCCACCCAGGTGCCCTTGAACAAACATTTATTGAGGCATCAGTATGTGCCAGACACTCTGCCAGACTCTTTAGTCCTTTAAAAAGCCAATTTCCAGGGGTTTTTCTGCAGATAAAAAGAAAGATGCAGTCCTCTCCCAAAGAGCTCATAAACTTGTCAAACCACTAAGCCTACACAGGACACTAATGTAACATTGTGTGTCAACTATACTCAAGTTAAAAAAATAATAATAATAAAAATAAAAAGTTAAACTTGGAGGAAAAACGTGGAAAGGCTGCCACCTTGAGGCACGTTTGATGGAAAATGTAGTTCAAGGCCCCTTTACCCTAGTTTCTCTTGAACTCTCTAAATGAGTCTTTTGATCCTTTTTGGATGTCGGGGTCCTTGGTCCCCACATGATGGAGTATGGGAGCTTATCAAGGAACAGGCTCGTATTTTCCTGATGGTTGGGAGCACCATGAAAGTACCTGGACCCACATTCAAGCCTGGTTCCAGAGTAACTTGAAAGCTTTAGCTAGGAGGAAATGCTCTGGGCAACCTTTATCCATAGCTCAGATAAAGAGGACCCCTCCCAGGGGCGGATCACCAACACCGTCCCACCCACAGAGGGCTGCTGGGCATCCCTTCCCGCTCCATAGTTGCGGCCTCTCTGATCTCAGCCTCGCCTGCCTCCCTCTGACAGCCTGCACTCCGACCTCACCCCTGCAGCCAGGAATGCAGTACCAAAGCCCTGATGAACTCTGACCCGCTTCCTTCATTTTCCGGAGGCTGCAGTGCAGAAACCTGGCTTTGGCTCTGCTCCCCACCTCTCCTTCTTCCTCTCTTGCCTATCCCACTCCTCTCTCTTTTAGTTTATTAGCTGTGATTCCCAGTAAACAATTGTGTTAGAGACATTTGGGCTTTGCTCCTTTCTAAGTGAGAGCAAAACTGAAGTACCACACACACGACGGATTCCCCCCTCACACAACTCCCGGGCAAGGGGGAAAGATCTGTTTCGCAAGTGCTTTTTAAAAAAAAAAAAAGAGAAAGAAAGTGCTTTTTTTCTGTTGCGGTATTTTTACGTTACTGTCGTGAAATACTCAGACAGTACAATAGGGAATAAAGTAAAAATAAAGTCCTGCTTTTCATGCCTCTCCCATTGCTCCCATCTACGCATCCAGAGCTAACTGTAAATGTCGGGGGAGGGGTGTCCTTCTGGGCTTTTCTATTACCGGTTTTATCCTTGTGGTCTTCCTAGAATGGGTGCATATATCTACCAGCATCAATATGACTTCATGAATAAGAGGCTGCCTTGTTTCCAAGGACAAACAGGAAGCTTTTTGTTGTTTCCAGATCTCTATTCTCCTTACCATAGCGATTCCTACTCATAATTTTTCTAAAGCTATTTTCAGATGTGCGCAATAAGACCACACATTTGTAGCTTGAATACTGTGACTATGATATTTAAGTAATCTCAGTCACCAAGAGGCAGGGGGTGAGTGACACCACACTAGGAATTCAGAAACTCCCAATGTCATCATGCTTCTGCTCGAGTAACTGGTTGGACGACCTTGTGAGAGCCACTCAGCCTCTGGGCTTTCTCACCCTCACCTAGGAAACAAGATGGTCAGATTGCTTAAATTACAGAGCCTTTTCAGGTTAACATTCTATTTAATTTTTTTAAATAAAAATTTTTGTTTATTTTCATGGGAGTTATTTTTTTAAGTTCTCGTGAGTGTGTGTGTGAGAGGGAAGAACATAGGAGTACAGGCAGGGATGTTGGGGGGAGGATCCCTTTCTTCACCTGCCTCCAGGAATCGAACTGGACCTTTCACACCAGATGTAAGCAGCAGAGGTGGTCCACGTGGAGTTAGTGGGGTGGTTGGGCGGAGATCTGTGTAGAACAACGGGAAGACAAGGAGCCCTGAGACCAGACCAGCACCCTGGGAGACGCACACGGGTTGACCGAAAGCCTTTTTCCAAACATCAGGCAGGGCCCTTTTCTTCCTGGTCTTTGCTCTGAGATCGCATCCCCAGTAATCCTCCTGTGCTTTCCTTTTTCAGGCAGAGCATCTCACCAGCTGCTACTGGGGCGGGAGCAGCAATGCGCTGGACCGGCACGACCCCAGCCTGCCTTACCTCGAACAGTATCGCATTGACTTTGAGCAGTTCAAGGGGATGTTTGCTCTCCTCTTTCCCTGGGCCTGTGGAACTCACTCGGAAGTGCTGGCCTCCCGCTTGTTTCAGTTATTAGATGAAAATGGAGACTCTCTGATAAACTTCCGAGAGTTTGTCTCTGGGCTAAGTAAGCATGTGCAGTTATTGCATGGCTTTGGAGGGGCTGATGGGGCAGTAACACCTGCCCCGCTCATGGTGGTCCTCAGTGCTGCCCTCAGGGCCCCAGCCCCGCACTGCCTCCAAAGATTGGGTTGAGAGGGCAGAGGAGCACATTTTAAAGTTTGCAAACTGCTGGTGACATTTGTTTTTCGTGACTGGATATACTATATGATCAAAGCATTGCCCTCTACATTGGTTAGTTCTCAGCCCTAGTTAAAATACCTTATCAGAGAATTTGCAAGACAGTAAAATGCCCACATAAACACTGAAACCACAGACCATGGTAACTTACAAGAGAAAAAGAAATATTTGGGTGGATTGATTTTCTTTGACAAAAACTATATTTCATAAAATTTTATAAAGAAATATAAAAACATTTCATAATGTTTTGAATAAAGGGCTGAAGAAACCACAACAGTTCTGCTAAGTGAAGGTCTTTTCTCTCAATTTTGCTTGGAGAAAGGACCGTCCGTCGTGAGCAAAAACACCCACATCTAACAAGGAGCACGCGGTTTCTGCCTGTCGGCCTCACTGACCGTGATTCTGTTTAGCAGGACTGCCCTATGTTCTTTTGAACTCTTGTTCCATTTATAATTGAGTAGAAAAGCTATAGGGACGTAGAGCTTGGCCTGCCAGATACGAGGTTGTGGTCATAGCAGGCATTATGTCAGGCTGCCAGAATGAGAGAAGAAGAAAAAAAAAAGTTGATTCTAATTGTGCCACTCTGTGACCTTGGCCATGGACATGACACAAAATTTAAAAAAAAATGACTAGAAGGCATGAAGGCCAGAGGAAGCTGATGGTTTTGAAAAAGGCAAAGGGGTATAAATGAGATGCTCTTAGGAAGGAAAAAATTATTTGTACAAAGCACTCATGTATGTGTTTAAAGGGGGAGGGGGACATGGAAGAACTAGCCTTTTTTTTTTTTTTTTAAGATTTTATTTATTTGAGAACGAGAGAGAGAGCACGAGCAAGGGGGGAGAGGGAGAATCAGGCTCCCCACTGAGCAGGGAGCCCACCCGGGGGCTCGATCCCTGGACCCTGAGATCATGACCTGAGCTGAAGGTAGCCGCTTAATTGACTGAGCCACCCAGGCGTCCCCAGAACTAGCCTTTTTTAAGTGCAGACACTGTTCAGATGCTTTAGAATTTGTACTTGATCACTAAATCCAAACAGTAGCCTTTTGAGGGGATAATGATAACTGCCATTTATACAGCATTTACTCTGCTCCAGGCACTGCCCTAATGCTTTATGTACATTTAATCTGCCGAAGGCGCACAGCTACAAAGTTACAGTTTGAACCCAGGCATTCCAGGGGCACAGTTTGTGCTGTTACTATTATGCTTTATTACCCACCTGCTTACTATTATCATCCCCATTTTCAGTTAAAGAGATGAAAGCTTTGAAAGTTAAATAACTTGCTGGGACGTTAGTTTTTAGCGAGTCAATACTTAATCTCTTACTGAACTGGACTGCACAGTTAGTACCTGCTGGGCCCAGGATTCAGACAAGGGCTGTCTGTCTTGATTGCTCACCCTTTTCTCACTAGTCTGTGCTGATGACAGCAAGCAGGACAGTTTTTAGGGAAGGAGGAGCCATCAACTTTTAATACACAAGTAACACATAAGTACCTTCCACTTTTTAAAAAAAGTGAAGCAGTCCAAACAGGGCTAAAGACCCCTTTGACCCTCCTCTAATCTTTTCTGCCCCAAGGTAACTACTTATTACCAGATTGGTGGCTATCAAAAGGAGATTTTTTAAAAATTATCTTTTGACATGGATAAGGAGGAGGAAAACGAGACCAGTTCTGCATGTAGAAAGTGATAGAAATAAATATAAGTATTTAATTTACTTAAGTTCAGTGACTCCAGTAAGAAAATACTCTTTAAAATCTTCAAGAAAGGGGGCGCCTGGGTGGCTCAGATGGTTGAGCGTCTGCCTTCGGCTCAGGTCATGATCCCGGGGTCCTGGGATCGAGTCCCGCATCGGACTCCCTGCTCCTTGGGAGCCTGCTTCTCCCTCTGCTTCTGCGTGTCTCTCTCTCTCTCTCT